CTATTGACTTCTTTTATTTAAGAAATAATCAGGTTGAACTTAACAGCGGTATAACATTACAGTCAAGTAGTGCCAAATTAGATACAATCAATACAGCGGGTGATAATGATATGGTGTTTAAAAGAAATGATATTGATTTTATGGCATTTTCACAGGCAACAGGAAAAATATTTTTACAAAAAGACACTGAAATTCAAGGTGATGTTAATTTTGTTGCTGGTAAAACAGTCCAAGTTGATAATATCAATACCGTAGGCAATAATGATTTAGCATTACAAAGAAATGGAGTTGAATTTATGAAATTCGGTCAAGTATCAAATAAAATTGAATGTGATAAAACATTGTTAATAGCAGGAGGGTTAGGTAAAACAGACATATATGAAAGTCTTGAAACAGGAGACACTAATAACATTTTACGAATTTGGAATAGGGAAACTACTAAAAATCCTATTACAATATTTGGCTTAGGTGCTAATAGCAATATATTTTCACTTTACACAGATAAAGTTATAGCAAAGCAACCCATCAATTGTAATACCATAAATACCGATGGTAATAGTGATTTGATTTTTAAAAGAAATTCAAATACCTATATGACTTTCAATCAAGCAGACGACAGAATAGAATTAGAAAAATCATTAAAACTACCACTAAATCCATCAAGGTTAGAATTTACCAGTTGTTATATGAGAGAGAGCATAGCATCCAATTCATTGTTTGATTTTGTCCAAGAAAATAGCGATGGTGTTATACGATTTTTTGTTGGAGACCTTCTAAATACAAATATGCCATTGTATTTAAATTCAAGCGTCGTTAGAATTGGTGAAAACCATACACTATTAACTAATGCAATGAATACAGTTGGAGATGTTGATTTGATTTTTCAAAGAAATTCAGTTGAATATATGAGATTTATTAACACTGCCAATATTGATAATGTTGATGTTGTATCAATTCCTACCGGCAAGGGTATAAGTGCTGAATATTCTTATGCTAATTTTTTCAGGTCAAGGAGTGTGGATACTGATTTAGTCTTTCACGGTGGTAATGTAGCAGGAAATAATAGAGTTGAATTTATGAGATACAATAGAACAGGTGAAAGTTTGGACTTAAATTGTGCCCTAGATAATACAGGGAAAAGTATAGTAGGAAATTTGGTAGATACATCTATTTCTGATGAGAAACTTAAAAAGAACATTGAAGATGTTGATGTTGATGTTTCTGATATTGTTAAAAAAATAAATGTGAAATCTTTTGAATACAAAAATGAAAAATTTGGGGTTGGAAAACAGATAGGGTTTTTAGCAAATCAACTATTAGATGAACTTCCAGAAGTATTCAGTAAAAATATTATTGGTAAGGATAGGGAAGATAATTTGAATATGAATTATATTAAGATAAATGTTTTGTTGTGGAAAGCACTTCAAGAAGAAATCCATAGAAGAGAACAGATTGAAAGTAAATTATTTGAGATGATGAATGACATTGAGGAGTTGAAGAAAAACAAACCTAAACCTAAAGCAAAAAGTAAAAGCAAAAATTAAAAATATAAATAATGATATATAGATGGGAAATAAATAGAGTTCGGTTGAGAATAGTTGCATTGAACAATTAAGTAATATTGATGAAAATGATTTAGACATCAGTAATATAGACAAACTTCAAATAAAGGCGATAAAAGAAATAAACAATAAAATTGAAAAATTGAATAAGGAAAAGCAAACAAAAATGATATATGCTTTGCCAAAAATAGATGTCTGTAATTACAGTCTCTTCTAACTTAATAATATTATATTGAAATAATATTATCAATTTTCATTGAGGGATTGTAGGTATTGTTGGTGTTTGGTGCTTCTTTCGTGTCTCAATTTATGTTGTTTTGTAAAAGTTGTCCCACATTCACAACTGATTTTTAATGATTGTTTTAGTCTGTTTTTTTCATAGTTTTTGGCATTATACTCTCTTTGTTTCCTTAGTATTTCATGTTTGTTATTTTCATACCTGTTTTTCCTATATTGTTTTAAACGCCCTTCATTTTCTTTATCATATTCTTTCATTCTTTGATATATCTTATCTTTATTGTCATTCCACCATTGGTTAAAGTCATCTTCGGTTCTGAACGGTTTTCTATTGTTTAGTTTCGCTTGGAGTTCTTCTATGTATTCTCTTTCCTTCTTTAAAGCATCCAAACTATTTTCACAATGTAAAGTATCTATCAAAATCATTTGCCAGTTGTCCCAGTTTCCATTATCACGAATAAACTGATATAGTGAGACATTGTGATGTTTGCTCTTTTGATTACAGCAATCACTTTTGTGTCTATTTTTTCTTTTAGTAAAATCAGTTGTATGACCTACATAGCAATCTTTTATGTCAGTATTTCTACAAACAATTTTGTAGAAATGAGTTTGTGAGTAGTCTATTGGAACTCTGGGCATTGTCCTATAATATCTTAAAACAACTTATACCTTTAGATGTGTTTTTAAGTAATATGAATTTCTGCTTCCAGTCTCTTCATAAAAATTTTATTTATATCACTCTCTCTTAATTTTACAAATAAAAATGAATAGGGTTCTTCTGTTGCCACTTTGTAAATTTCATATAAAGTTTTCTTATCAACCAATGCTGACTGTTCTTCTATAAAGGTGTCAATTTCTTTCATATTTTTCAACTTGAAAATATATAGTGAAGATGTGTTTAATCTAACTATCGGCGCTAAAGCGTTATACTTCTGTGTTGCTGTGATTACTGATAATCTAAAGTGTCTTGATTTTGTGTATAAGCCGTGTAGCACCTTTGAATATTTCATAAAAACTCTATCCTCTGCAAAATCATCAATGACTAACAGGCAACTAAATAGTTTATTCATCTTGTTCTTCTTCTGGTATTCAATGATTTTGTGCTGTGTGTCTATGATGTGTTGTAATGCATCTCCATCATACTCATCAAACAAAAACTGCTCTTTTTTATTATCTATTTTTAATTCCTTTGTTATATATTTTATCACTTCTTTGTAGGCTTCATCAATGTGTGCTGTGGGGCTCACTACCCAAATTCTCTCAAAGCAACCCCTGTAGATTTTTAGAATGAGGTTCTGTATTAATATACCCTTACCACCCTGTGATGCTGAGACAATAATACTTCTGAATGGTAGTTTGTCTGCTTGTGGGTATGGCGATTGCTTGAACTCATATTGTTTTACATTTATAGGTTCTATTTTAGGAGTGTCTAATTTTGTCATTAATTTATTTAGAAAATAAATATATTTAATAATATTGATGAACTTTATACCGCACAGAAGAGTAACAGATAAAGAAGCATCAATCCTCATAAGAAGTTAATTAGTTTTCGGAAGCAATAAAAAGATGATACTACGCTACAAGTTTGCCAAGTTGTGTTTTGAATTCAACCTAACTTCAGTTAGGTTCAATGAACTACGTGAATTCGTTTTCAGTGCGTTGCAGTGTTCCATATCCCCTCATACCCCTGAAGTCGTCCCAAAAATAATTAGATTTTAAGAACATATTATCTAATTATTTTAATAATGACACTAAGTGAATATGAAGCATATATGGAAGCAATAGATGATGTTGAAGAAAGAATAAGTGATGATAGTAAATTTCCAGTAATTAAAGATTATAAAATAAAAAGATGTTGTAAGCACACACTGGAACTGACCAAATTTGCATTAGATTTTCTAAAATATAAAATAGATGCCACCAAGAAAGAAAAACAATCTTAAGAAACAACCAATCCCTGAAGATTTTGAGTTGTCTGATGATGAACCGACAACAATTAAATTAGATGAAGAACAAAAATTAACAAGTAAATTTATTATCTTTGATTGTCCTAATTGTTTTACTAAACTACAGTTACAAAATGAAATAGAAATCAATCCAAAGGGGATTAAATGCCGTTGTTCTCCCTGTAGTTTCAAAATTTCAAAAAACGATAAAACAATGAATGTTAAAAAGGATGATGAAGGGGGTATAACATTAGATAGTGAAATTCATAGCATATCATTCAGTTTTAACCGTAGGCAAATAACACCTGAAAGTGAAGATGAAAAGAATAGAAATCAAATGATAAGCGACGTAGTAGGCACACCAAGAAAAAAGAAGCAAATATCTATGGGAGAAATGGATTAAAAGTTTGATAAAAGTTTTAAAATAAAATCTATAGTATTGTATATATAATGAGTTGTAGTGAGGCAAATGCAAGTGACAAGTCTAAAGACTTCTCAGAGCGAAGCTGTGACGTTAATTTAGAAAAGTTAGATGAATTGACCAATAAACTGAATAGATGTAACAAAAATATTAAACTGGTTTTGGAATTGTTACAGAAGATGAACGAAGCAACTGAAAAGAAAACTCAATCTACTTATATTGCACCAAATAGTGCCGAATATAGAAATAAACGTGCCGTCTATCTAACAAAATTGAATAACAAAGAGATAAAACAACCCAAACAAACAACATTGACATTTTATGAGATTGAATATGACGAAGACGAAGAAAAATATGTAGATAAATAAATATAGTGAAATCATTAGAATCCCGGAAGAATTAATCTATGAGATTTTTAGAAAGTAATGATAAGATGTTTTTTTTTGGCAAGATAATTTAAATTATGTTTTACCACCTATTTGTTTCTACAAATGTCAGAATATTCTGCTGGGAATAGTAAGCCGACCAAGAAGCGAACTGGCCTAGGAACCAAGCAACTGCCCAAATCCTCAGCGTTTTCTTGTTCAAAAAACGAGTAGCTTAAAGCAGATGATGGTGCACACTGGTTTTGTGCCCTAGAGTTCAACACCTTGCATGTAAGAAATCCTTTCGTAGATCTGTTCTTTCAAATAAATGAACAGTGTTGCATCTCAAGTCCTCACGTAAGGTCACAAAGAGTGATGCATCACCTTTCCGCCTAATTATCGGCATGAGTAGAAGCACTGTCATTTCTGTTTACTTGTCTGGGACGTGGTGTCGTGTCCTGATTGTGCAATGGCAGACACTCCATCAACGAAGCGGAAGTTTCCGTCGGAGTGGTTTCAGGACAAGCTTGAGGCGATACAAGATGTGGAAATGCCTGACAGTGCAAAAAAGGATTTGGCAAGTGAATTTTCCAAATTTCCTGCTCACCAACTGGGCGATTCCGATCTCAACGACTTGGTTGGCCTTATTCCAGCAGAAATTTCACATGCACGTAAGATTGTAGCCATGCACCTGAAACACCACATTCGCAAAGAGCTGCAGGCCGGACCTTGGTCAGTCAATGACATCCTGTTTTCGTTTTTTTGTTTTACTCATAAACTTCCCCCATAGGCTTTTTTGAATTTCTCACTTATTAGGTGTAGGGTTTGGCTCTTTGGTTGTAGCGTAGTGGTTTACTCCCCCTATAGGTTTGGTGCCCTCGTAGGGTGTTCCGATAGGGTTGGTTGATTGGGTTGCTTAGTTGGGTTTAGGGTTTGTTTTTCTTGTTTTGGGCAAGGCTGAAGCATCTGGTTCAACGACAGCATTGCCGAAACCCACGGAGGCGGAGGTCGAACTGCCCGAGTTGGCGGCACTGGAGATGAACAAACTTTTGGATGTTTCAGGTTTCAAGCCATTGCGCCTTGGATGGTTTTAGCGTCCCTTTTTTGGGGGTTGTGTTTCTTTGTTGTTTTTCAGTTGTTGTTTGACGACGGCTAAGGCTGGCATCAAACACAGAGGCGACCCGACCCATTTTCCTGCGCAAACATTTGCTCGATGTGCGCGATGTGGCTGTGGATGTTTTGTCCGCTCCGGTTCAAGAGGATGCCAAGCGCTTGGTCTCCCTGGTGGGATGTCCCGGAACTGGCAAGACGTGGTGCGGTTGGTTGGTTGCCCATGCCTTACAGAACACGAAAAAGAAGACACTGCATGTCACCATCAGAGGCCAGGAGGTGATAGTGGTGTCCGAGTTCAAGAAGAAGAAGACGTATGAAGTTGATGATTGGAAATACAGCATGTTGGGGCAAGTCCTGAACGAGAACCCGTGCGATGTTTGCATCATTGATGTGGGGGACAAGAGCCCCACCGAATCCAATGACATTTTTCGTGGCGTCCGCACCATTTTGGAAAGCAGTGCTGACCCGAAGCCCTTCCCGAATGTCAAGTTCATGTGCTTGGTTTCTGGACACGCGCAGGAGAATATCATAGGCAAAGACAGAAGCATTGCTGCTCAGAAGCTTGTCTTGTGGAGTTGGTCCGAAGATGATTTTCAATCTTATTTTGAGGCAAGTCAGGGTAGTGCAAACCAGCTGAAAGAGCACACCTACAGGATTTGCGGTGGTTCGGTTCGCTTGTGGTTCAATCCCGCACAGGACGAGGAGAACATTTCCGATGACGTTGAGCAACTGGAAGAGCAAGAAATGCAAAGATTTCTGACACCAGATCATCGCCCCACCTCCAACATGAATCACCATCAGCACTCGCGATTGTTGGCTTTCTTTCGCAATCCCACCGCCTTTGCAAATGCGGGCGAAGATGACTTCAAGCGTGGTGTTGTGTCTGCTTACATCGTGCCACGCTCAGACTACGTCATTCGAAGCATCAAGGCGCATGAGAAGGGCAGTTTCTCCCAATTCAAGAAGATGTATGAGAGGCTGTTGCCTCTGAACCCGGGCGCCGCAGGAACGCCGTTTGAGATTCTCGTGCATTACTTCTGGGAGGAGTGCATCAACAAGAAGGACAACATCCAGTTGAAGATCACCGATCAACACGGATTGGAGAAGCGCACCATCATGGTGGACTGTTCCCTGTTGAAGCCCGTGGCTGAATGTAAGCCTGTTGAGAGTTGGGACGACAAAGGCAAAGACGCTGTAGATGCGAACCTGTTAGGGTATTTTACTCCAAAAAACAAGAAGAATTACCCCAGACTGGACAGCATTTTGCGCTACAAGAGTGCTGAGCAGACAGAGGTTCTCGCAATCCAGGTGAGCATCGGGGCGACTCACCAGTATGGAGACAAGCGCAAAAATGCGCTGCTCGAAGCAGGAGGGAAGACATCACTAGCATTGTGGGATCACCGCGACAAACACAGGAAGTGTGTGTGGAAAAGCAACGAGTCCGATGATTGGGACTTGGTTTATGTCCGCTGTAGAGAGTTCGATGACAAGATGAGGCAAAGTTGAAGACTTGCCGTTGCTCACAGGACAGGAGCGACAGCTGACAAAGGCTGAGCGTCCACATCGGAGCAACCCTTGACCCTTCCTACGGTTTTTGGTTGGAATGGGGTTGTTGATTGTTTTTTTCGATGATAATTTTGGTGAATAATTATGATGATAAAATGAATAAGGGGGCATGATGCTAGGTTCGTTGCTATGAAACTATGAGAATGAAGATGATGAAGATGATAGATGATGATAGATGAGATGAAAATGAATATGGATGAGAAGATGAATGGAAAGATGATGGAAACATGAAATGGGAAAATGAAAAATGAAGATGAATGGGAAAAATATTGGAACAATGATTGATGATATGGTGGAAATGGGTGATGAATGGAACATATGATGGTGAAAAATGATGGAACATGAAATGGATATGGTGGATGATATATGATGGGTGAAAAATGAAGCAACGAACCTAGCATCATGCCTACTCACTACTTATATATATTATACATATATCAACAGATTGAATAGAACCCATTAGGATTATACAAGTATATATTTTGTATATAGATATCCACAACTACAGTATGTAGAAGTTGTTTGGGTGATGGTGATGTGACCATGCCATACTCTCAACATTGCCACTACAAGGCGTCTTGTCAAGTCATGGCCTCACCACAACTGAGGTTGTCAAGGGAGAGCTGGAGATCAGAAGGACTGGATGATGGACTTGTTGAAACCATGAGGATACCATCTGGTTATTTGTTACATAGCCATGGTATAGATGGCCCATAGAAATAGATGGTTTACCTATTAATAATGGTGATTTTCCATAGCTATGTAACAAATAACCAGATGGTAATGGACAATGAAAAAAAACGGTTTGATGTGGATAATCGACTCTGTGATTTTTATGGAGGATATTTATTATCAATCCTAATAGATGGATACCGTGGGTACCCAGAATACGTCTGATATCCAATGGGTGATGGTGGGGGTACCCCAGCTTCGCCATGCAGAGGACCATTGGGGACAATTGAACAGAGTGTACCCCGAAATTCCATGCTTAATCCATCTGAATCATGAGTATCCAATCAAAATGACCATATCCTGGGGGATAAACCCATATAAACCCTATATATCATCCTATATCCCAGATGACAGTCAGGTTTTTTGAGGGCTGTGTTTGGGGTGGACCATTTTAGCGAATCAAACTGGATCCATCAAACATGGCAATGGAAAATCCCTATTTATAGACACTATAGTTTTTTCCCACACATCACTAAAACTTCTGATGTTCAATTGCCATGTTTGATTACCAGAGGGCACTGTATTTGTTGGTTTCAAATTTGTGTTCAACCGATGTGTTAAACCTCACCGGTCAGCAGGAAAAAGAAGGCCGAGTTGCTGACGGAGTTGAAGAAGCTGAAGTTCACGCCCATGAGTGAACTGGAAGCTTGGTAAATGGTGGATATCCTCCAGGAATCAAACTTGGCAATCGGACATCCCCTTTTTGGAGGCAGGTAATGATGGGACAAGTCATCTTGATGTAGGATGGTGCAGCATTGTGAAAACTGAACATCGTGGCCAACAAACATAGATGAAACCACCACCACCACCAACAACAACAACAAGAAGAACAAGAACAAGAAGCACCACCACCACCTCAGATCGTTTTCACTTTCCGCCTCAATGACTGGAAAATTGATTCCTGCTGATCAGCATGTTTGCACATGAGATTGAGCCACCTGCCCCAGATCCTCGTTCTCAAAATGTCCGTTTTTTTCATGCTTTTAACTTAAGGATGCCATCATGAAGGGCAAGACAGCTCTTGAGGAGGCCTGTGATGTTTTCGGATTTTCTATTGAGTGGTGATTGGGCGTGACAGCCCTCACGTCTTAGCGTCACGTTGTTGGGGGGTTATTTCTCTAAGATCGTGGGGCTGTTCCGTGACGATCCCCAGTGGCAATTGAAGCTTTGCAAAAGGGGAAACAATCAGACCACCTCCTTCGATTGAAGCTTCATGCATTCACCCCTGTCAACTGATCAGTAAACCCTGGTTTATTATGGTTTATTGAAATAATTTAATTAGGGGAAGTACCCCCAAGCAGTGATATGATTTATATACATATATATATATATAATGTATTTATATATATATAATTATATTGTATGTTTTGAACCACGGTACTCCTGCAATGATCAACAGCCTAATGGTTTCACCCAGGGGCAGGGGTTTTGTCTCAGGCAGATGCGGCTGAGACCAAGGAGAAGGACACCCCGGACAAAACGGAGTATGACTATTTGCTGAACATGAATCTTTGGAGTTTGACGTAGCAAGGCTGAAAGCATCTGAAAACCCTGGCGAAGACAGAAAGTTGCGAAAGGAGAACAGAAATCTGATAAATAGTGTAGCAACAATGTCGCTTAAATATATGATGAAGGGGACAACAAACAATTTTATGGAAATATGTGTCAAGATGTCATATTCAATAGATTTCAATAGCTGGTCAACTATAATATATATAATTATATATATATATACATATTACATAATATGCGAGCTGATTATATGCCCAATGTCGTTGATGATTTCCAGACATTCATTGGTTGGCAACATCAAGCTATATCCCATATATATATATAATATATATATTGTTGATGTTACCATTTGGTTTGGTTACTGAGAAACTGTCAAGAACGCAACTTTGGCACAACTGCCGCAACCAGCATGTCTGTTGCCGCTGTCGCCGCGTGGCGTCGCCAAAGGTATGAGAAGGTCGAAGAGATCAAGAAACAGCTCGAGACGAAGAAAGAGGACCAACATGGACCAACTGTAGTACTAAGCTGCAACAGGATCAATGAGTGGTTGGTTCAAGGTTCAATGCACTTCTTGAACGGACATGTGTTTTTTTCTTGCTGTTACGTACAAGAGGTTCCTGAAAAGTGACCCTTCCTCCGACTGGGCAATGACTTCACCAAAAGTGGGGAGCTGCTGGCCAGCTTTTCAAGTGTGTAAATCGGAAACTGGGAAAGACATCATAGAAAATGCCCGAACTTGGTGAATTCCCATGAATACTCATACATTTTGGGAGTGTTTGGGGTCTAATTATATTTAGGTGACCAAGGTAGCCTCTTAAGAAGTATTTGGCTCCATAGGGAACGGTTGTTAAGAGCTTGCTGTTCTATATCTAATTATCTTAGTTTACTGGAGGGTACCCAGAATCAGATCTAATGTTGATATGATCTTTGATGTTTGCCCCAGCCAACTGAACAAGTCCAATATAGAATCCAATATGATTATAGCTGGTTGGTGGTTTGGAACATGGCTTTTATTTTTCCCATCATATTTAGAATGTCATCATCCCAACTGACTTTCACTCCATCATTTTTCAGAGGGGTAGGGTTGAAACCACCGGCAACCACCAACCAGCCATCGCTTAAGGTCAGGTCCAAGTCTGGTCACCGAGGTTTCGATCGCTATCTGCGAGTTGGACATTGGAGAATTCGAGTGTGAGATATAAACGAAAATCACAACAATAGATATTCGAAAATCACTCATTGATATAAGAATTGATAGTTGACTATGATCAAGATATTCGATATTGGAAACAGAAAGTTTTGATTCCACATTGCCCAAAAATATGTGTGGATGCGGCTAGATCTGAACTAATTACTTGCTCAAAGGCATCGCAGGTCATAACCCGTGCATTAGTGGGCCGGATCCCAGTTATAACTATAGTTTATAAGATAATCCCAGATGAAACTGAGTTTATCTTTTTGTTTATATTAGTTCTAATATTAATCATCCATATTTATTTATATCATGGTTTAACCATATAAATCGTTAAAAATGGCATATTCTACAACTAGTTCTATGGCGACAGCATCAGCCGTGCCACGGCGTTTTTCAAGGAGCTGGACATCCTGAAGGCCACCACCATCGAAACCATGTGGGACCGCGATCTGGAGGCGATGGGGTCCAACTTCTGCTGGTTTTTCATGGGAAAATCACTGGGAAAATGATCAATTTCATGGGAAAACGCCAGATTTCATGGACAAATCCATGGTTTCTTTAGATGTTCCCATGGATTTTCCCATGGATTTTCCAATCCATTGACCTCATCTGGATGGACCAAATTGAAACCGGAAACATCCGGATAGATATAACATACTGCACAAGATAGAAGCAGGATATAATATTGGCATTGGCACCATTATCACTATTTTCACTATTATCACTATTGTCATAACTCATAGTAATCACTGTTGTCACTTGTTATCACTTATAAACCAACTCTATAAACACGTCATGTAGAATATCACTATAAATTGCTTAACTATGGTATATGATAGATATATCCATACTTCAATGGCTTCATAAACCAAGTATAAATCATATCATTCCATTTCCATCCCCATCCCCATCCCTATCCTAATAAGATATTATATACATATATATATATATGATTTATAGCATAATTAGTCTCACTATAACATCATGATCTTTATGACTCTTATCCGATAATAACTATAAACTGTAATAATATCACCATCACCAAAATCACCATATAAAACTACGGTAACGACATTTAAATATGTGGAGAGCAGGCCAAACTGCAAGGCCGAGGTAGTATAAACATGATAAAATACCAGTATATTTAAAGGTAGTTACCTTATATTACTATCAAATATCATTAATGCGTCATGATATAGTCCTATACTTGATATTATGATGACCCTATTAATGATAGTATATATATATAATCTATTACCCATTAAATAGTCCCTATCATTACTATCAAATATATCATCAAATACCCTATCGGTCCTCCTCCGAAAAATGGGCGATGTCCAGGCCTTGTCGTCGTCCCTGGACGACTTGGACCGCCAGGAAGACGAAGAGCTCATCGCCGCGGCCACGGCCACGGAGGGACGCAAGCTGCAGACGGCCAAGGGCAAGGGACGCGCCTCGCCGGAAAAAATGCGACGTTTTTATTGGGAAAAAATAGGAGGAAAACGAAATTTTTGAGGTTTTGCCAGGAAAAAAATGGAAAAAATATGAACAATTATGTCACCAACCAAACATGGGGTTGCCCTGAAGGTTTAACAAGAAAGGCATGCAAACCGGAATGAACATGCATTCACTGGAATGCGTTTCGCAAGTGAAAACATAAATAGATTTGCGGTTATTTCTTACTTGCAGGTGTTCCAAATGTGGCAACAGTTTTTGGAAGCCACCATTTCGTTGATGTCAGACAGAAAGTCGCAGACCTGCTGGAATTTCAGGTACACCAAAGTTTGACCCCACAGTGGCCGTCAATTTCGCAGAGTCAACATACTATGTCCGCTATGCCCAAGGCCCAAACATGAATCTGATTGGGTTTCCAGGTATATATGAAACTGTGTGCTTTCTGTTTGCACGCTGATTGTTTCACCCTGTTTTCACATCTCAACTGGTTGGTATTGTAATGATGAGCTTGTTAGTTTTTCCAATGGGACCCTCATATGGAGGTTGCCCAAATTGAGGGTACCCCCAAATCATCCAAGTCAGTAGAGCATGATTTAGTATTGAAACCTATGGCATCATGGTGACTCTTGGATCCTCACTTAACAAACCCATATATTCATAGATGTTCCATGGATATCAGCTTGGAGCATGTTGGACCCAGGTGGACGCGGCCGTGGGAAAGTGGAAGAGAAGGCAATCGTTTTTTGGCAATTTTTGGCATGGAGAACAGGTGGATTGTTCAACAAAGATTGGGCTTTTTCGCGCAACATTCAAGAAAAGGGCTTGAAGCTTTCAAAAAAAGGCAGGAATGGATTAAATCATCTAAAGAACTGCAAAATTGACCCATACTCAAATGTTTCGTTTGTGCGTGTGTGTTTCCCGAGGAACATGTAAAAGAGATGGTCACGCAGGCAACTAACACCAGAAGAACACATAGATTTCTTCAAAACAAAAATAACAGCATCCAATATGTCCAACAGCGACTGGAAAAAATGTGAGGGTGGTGAGTAGGGAAATATATAAATGTGCTGTTAGACACCTTTAAGATTAAACACTGCATAGAAACACAATACTGAGCTGGTGGTTTCCCAATATTGAAAGGTCATACAATCAGTCCTATATGTTTAGAAACAGACAGACAGTTCAAAATAGAATACAATTTGTTTTTTTGGTGTGAATATATGAATATGTATGAACATGATACAAGGTTATGAATGTTACTGTGACCAAGCAGGAAGAAGAGAAAACCTATTACACAAGTTGATACGTTGATAAATACGTTTAGAATTAAACACTAAATATAATGATTGTGTAAATGGGTTGTGAAAGAACAAGTCAAGTGAGAGAGAAGATGAAGGCAGAAAAAAAAACTAATGACTTTTAAAGGTGAATCCATATCCTAATTGTGATTTTGTGTCCAATGACTTGTTCCTTAAGCAACATCACCCTTTACCACCCTATCATATAATTCTATGAAAGCATTTGTGATCAAAACTAGTCAGAAAACACGGTGAGAGGATACGCAGTAAAGAAGGAAAGGCATCTTTGCAACAAAACGATCATACTTTTGACAGAGTTTTCAGCATTTGACCAATGAGGTCTTGATAGAGATACGATAGTGTCAATGTTTTATACCCTTTGGTAATGACTAACATAGCTATTGAACATGACCATAGAAATAGTGGATTTACCCATTGAACATGGTGGATCTTTCCATATGTTTTTGTGAACGTTTACCAGAGGGTAACAGTCAAACCTTTCCAAAATACTGGGATGTAATAGCTTCAAAACCAATGATGTAACAACAACATAGAAACACATACTCCCCATAAAGCAGGTTCATATATTGTGATTGTTTGTGATTGTTATTATAATGTGCATAGTAAATATATATATACACATATACAGGTTCTGCATGTATATACAATATTACTGTATATATATATATACACCCATATTATCATAATATTTTGTTGTATATATATATATATTGTTTATTTATTTATTTATTTTTGTTGTGTGTGTGTTCCTCTTCGAAAATGTGATAAATTGACATCACTGGCGCCAAAAAACAACCAGGTAGCGCCACCGAAGCCCAGTGGAGCCATTCCACCAGAGGTGTGGTTTCCATCGCCCGATGGAGGTGGTGGTAAATTTGGGGCATGGTGGGATTTTCCAGTGTTTGAGTAACACGAAATACCATATGGGTATGGATCAATACCTATAAAAATACAATTTTTAGTGGGATGAACATCCATTTTAATCCAGCTATTTTGATGTGAACTACAGGGGTACTATTGGTTTTGACACACTGCCATATCATACCGGTAAAACTTACCCCAATGCCCATGACAAGAATCCGAAAGTGCATGATCATGGGATTGGGCGGGCTACCCGATTTGAACACAAGCCCATTTGTTGGGTTTATGATGAAATGACCATAGCCACACGGGGTCATAAACCAACAGGCATAAGGTTTGGGGGCACCAACTTGTATGGGTGGAAATGTCACCTCTACTACAACCAGCAACGAATCAAGAAACAAACGTAGTTATCCCCAAGAAGAATATAAAAATGTGACAGAACACCAGTATTTGTCTTAGATTCTCCAAAACAGGGGCCCCCATGAAAGCAATCACCATTTTTATGATTAATGGGATTTTATGATTAACCATCATTAAATTTAGTTATCCCTCATAAAAGAAAATGTGATTTTATTGACCATTTCAGTGAACCAAGGCTTGGATCCGGGAGACATTTCACTGTAGGTGATTCACCGACGACGTCAAGCAGCGGCCGAGAAGGGCAAGGACAATTTCCTGAAGAAACCGTGCCTCAAAGCACTACTTGCTGAATGGAATATTGTGGTTATTACAATATGTGTATTATAAATTTTAACTAAAGTTATAACCTTCTATGGGTCCCACACTTCCTAAGGTACGACACTGTTGTTTCCCACACTCCGACACGAACCCTATGGGGGGATGGCCTAGGTTGTCCACGGTGGACAAGACTGAGTTTGTGCAGAAACAGGTTTGGGGCTTCTTGGCTGTGAATATGATGAATATGCACACGAAGCATGGTGCTGGTATATATATATATTTATATTTGTTTTCTTTTTTACCTACAAAACTGGGTGATTTTGTGGCACATGTCATAATGTACATATTCCAGCACCCATGCTGAGCATACGGGATGAAGCCTTGATTTGGGAAAGTCGGTTGGTTTTACTGTTACCCTCTGGATCCCTCTGGTAATTTAACATAGCTATTGAAAATGGCCATTTATAGTTGATTTAGCCATCACACATGATGATTTTCCATAGTTATGTAAACGTTTACCAGAGGGTAGTTCAGAATCGCGACAAAACCATGGAACCAACGATCCGATGATTGCCATTCACCGCTAAGTTCTGGCAGATCATTAAAGATAATGTTTTTCAATGTTCCTAGTTGTGTATTGCAAGATGTCCATTTCAAATGCTTGGTCTTCCCATCTTTGGTTGGTGAAAATGTCAATCCTGGTTGGTGAGATCCCGAAAATTTCCTGAAACATCACTCAGGCTGCAGTCTCACAGCCACCAGTTCTCATCAAATCTTTGGCTTCATCTCATCATCATTCTTTTCTATGGTTTCATTTAACCCCACATGGTTTCCTAAAATATCTAAAATGAAGCCCCAAAACTATTGGCTTCTGGAGTTGGTCCACAAAATTGGAGTAATGGAGTAGCCCATTTTCACCACCTCCCAGCCTCTGTCCCAAAGGTACTGGTGGCTCCAGTGGCTCCACAGGCAAAGGCAAAAAGCTGGAGACCGTGGAGCCCGTGGGTCTCACCGTGGCCGCCACGGCCACGGCGAAGCGGGCGAAGAAGGAGACACCCCGCGAGGCGGAGCCCTTGAAGGAGACAGCGAAGGGCTGAGGATTTTTTCCATGATTCGTTTGGGTGAAAATGAAGGTGGATTTTGTTTGCTTGAAATAGACATAATAGACGATGTTGATCAGCAAACATGTGGATAACAAAGTGTGGCTCAATTTTTAGCGTTGATGATCCATGGTGTATTTAGCCATGGGCCGGGCGAAACAATGAAAAAAACCGGGCGAATTTGGGGTGCCCATTTTGTTGGGCCCATTCATCGGACTGGTATAAAAAGCAATGTTGGGCCGGGCGAATTACAATTCAAAAAACCGGGCGAATTTGGGGTGCCCAAGATTTTCTACCACTGCTAGCCTGCATGAAAAAGTTGAAATGTGTATTGTTCAATAAACCATTGATTACTGAATTTGTTCAAAAAACACAAGTTCGCTAAAGTATTCTTCCAAACAAATCAACCAATCGGGTCGACTGGAAGACTACATTCCTCTACTACAAAGACATGATTCTCAGGGTCGTTAAACAGTGGTACATGATCACCATAAATCGTCATAAAACCTATAGTAACTATCGTTTTTTAACGAGTTATAGTTATAGACCGTTTCAGCCGTAGTAAACAGCTGGGCAGTTGGGGTGTTTTTGCAGCCATTTTCAGGACATCTCGGACCTTTCAGGTGCAGAGGGACATGGAGCCAGGGGATGGTCATCAATCCATACTGTTGGTTGTGTCCCCCCAGTTATAACTTGAACAGTTGGTTTATACATAATCATGATTTGCATATATATATATATATATTATATAGCATAGACACCTAACATAGTTATTGGAGTTATGTGCACCAACAAAAAGCTCACTGGGGCACACACAACGTCACGCTGGAGATTTCTATATCTAGCCACTGTCTGAATGGATTCTTCCATGGGATGGCCATGTAGATCATCCATATGGGGTCTCGAGGGGGATGTGTACAGGGCCATTGTACCCCAATCAATGGCCATTTCATGGGTCAATAAATGTCCCCATTGAACATCACCCAACCATTAGGTATATGGTCTATAATGGCTACTATAAGGTGATGTCCAATATACCCAAAATGGGACAGTTACCAACCCCTGCATTTTCATAAGAAACATTCTGATTACCCTTTGCTAAACATACAAAAAACTATGGAAAGATTTGAAAGATCCATCATTTTTGATGGCTAAATCAACTAATTCTAATTATAAATGGATTTCTATGGTCATGTTCAATAGCTATGTTAGTCATTACCAGAGGGCAACTAGTGGATTTTGATGGTACCCTATCTTCAGACTTCTGAATAATTAGTGTTTTTTGATGCAGATAAAAACTATTTTCAGCACACCATCTTATCCGTCTAATGACCTGTATAAACCCATTGAATCCCATCCTGCCTTTGTGACCTGTTGGGAACTACCCATTGCACATTACTGAAATCAATCCGTCGGAGGTTCCATATACTCCCGTTGTGTGGCATATAATCCCCTATTTCAAGAACTGGCCAATCCCATGAATCATAGAATCCCTAAGTTTAGATTCCATAGGATTCCATTCTCATTTTTTTTGAAAAAAAAACGCTTGTTACTCTCTGGTAAATTAACATAGACCCGGCACCAATTTGTAGTGGAAACCTATCTTCCAACCCCTATCTGCCACGGTCTATGTTAATTTACTGGAGAGTATATGTATGTTGTTATGATCATGGTCACCGAACAGCTCATCACATCACTCCACTCCATGAATCCTCAGCGACAGGTGCCAGTCTCCTCTCGCGTCTTCTTAACAAATCGGGCCCCGATTCGGGTGGCGCGGGAAGCTCCGCGGGAAGCGCCGCCGCGTCCTTCGCGGCGCGGCCGTTGGAAAGCTCCGAGGACCTGCTCCCTGGCGTTGGAGGGTGGAAGTTCCAGGTTGGAGAACAAACAGAGGAATGGTGACATGGTGAAATTGATGAAATGTTGGAATATGGAATGATCCTCCTATAGTGTACCTAAAGACAATGAGGGGGCAGGAGCCCTTTGAAAAATAAAAATCAAGCAAATCTGAAAATAAAATGGGGTCAGACCCCAGCATTTTATTTTGTGGGTGCGTTTTATTTTTTGAGGGGCCCAACCCATCAAGTTAACTGACAGAGATAGCATGATAGCAAAGATGCACCGCTGTGAACGGTCTGATCATTCTGTGAAACCTTCCAGAGATTTGGAATCACTTGGACATTATGGAGCATATGAAACTTTAACAGCAGTTGTTGTCGATCCAATTTGATTCTAGCAGGACTGCGTGCCGTGAAAAATAAGTATGAAACACAATGACAAATAAAGATGAAATGATCGTGAGTAAGAACGATAATCCTATATAATCTTAATGTATAACAAAATGCTAGAGATGAATTAAGTTCTGAAACTGTAATGATTATGCGTATATCATACTGTACAAATGTTTGTCAACGATCTAAGGACATATAAAAATCAATATAACAAAAAAAATGCCGGGGCGTGACGTCCAACAGTTGCCAGGTGGAGGGGGCCTGACGTCATATTCTCTTCGTACCTGTCCATTGTATGGATTATCGTATCTTACCTTATTTTCCTCTCATTTTATTGGCATTTTGTCCTTAGGCCCTTGCATTTTATGTTATTTTTTAGGGGTTCCACCCCCCCTGGCACCACACGGGGATTGGAAGCCTCGGAAAGTTGAGATGTCAAGTAGGCCGGATGACTGACAGTGAAGTTGAACCCACTTAAAGTGAAATGAAGGGTTGGAAAAGCCCTCGCAAAATAATGTTCATTACTGTTACCCGACACCGATATTTTTGAGTCAAATCGATGTAATTAAATATATATATATTATATATGGTGCATATATAATTATATATGCAAAAACATCATTGAATCATCAGCAAGAAACACATGTACATGTTGTTCTTTTTGCGCCCTAGCCTTAGTCTATGTAGACTGTGTACTTATACACCAGGACTTTTGCCAGCAAAACGCACTTTGATAAGGATGACACCCGGGGGACCAAACCAGCGGCGCTGAGGTTTTCATACCTCAGCACACAGCCAACGGAGACGGTTGAGCTGGATCCGATGGACACTTCAGGCGTTTTTCAGTTTGTGGTGTCAAAGTGTTGGCGTCATTTCGGGCATGTGGCCTGGTGTGAATCCATCATGTCATCTGTTTGATATATATATATATATATACACATATAATGATATATATATATGTATATATATATATGTATATGATGTGTATATATATATATGTATATGATGTGTATATATATATGTATATATCTAGCTCCAAGTTACCCAAATTCACAAAAAATACCTATACCATGAATCCATCGTACTCCAGACCTGTCTCTTTGGACCCATTGTTTTCCCAACCTGCTTCCCTGTGTGTGACATGTTTCACACCTGTGAATTGACTGGTTGCTGTGGGAAGACCTTTCAGCTCAATTTTTAAATTGTTTGGCACCATGTCGATGCCTTGTGTTGTTCCTGAAATGCTATGGAGCCTGGATGAGCTAAAGCGTACCCTGATAAGTGAGTTTCCCATTTTGAAGACTGAAGAAGGAGAGGGTTTCAAAATATTGTTTGACTTGTTTGTTGAATGGGCTGAAATCCTGTTAAATTACCACAACCAGCATCGGCTCTGTTGAATTTGGGGAATTGTGGCCCAGAATCCTTCTCTCAGGGGGTTTCCGGCCGCGCATACTCATGTGGCATCGCACTCGAGGGGTGTCATCGCACCCCAGAGGACCCCATCGCACTCCACATACATACCCACAGATCTTCGTACTCCACTAAAGGCATCGTATACCAGAAAAACCGACGCATGCAGCCAAAAACCATTTTTTTGGAAAAAATGAACCTGAAGAGGTTTTTTTTTTCCTCTTCGGAGGTAAAATGCTCTGGAATATGATAATATGGAATATGGGGGAAATCGTTGTTTTTCCAGCGTTTTGAAGAGTCGCGCATACAATCGTATTCCATCAAATTTTGATACTTTAGACCTGTGGAGGCTATGGAAATCCTCGGTTGTGATGTTAGTCGTGCAGGATGGAGTGTGATGCTTTGTGGGTATCTGGAATGGAATTTGTGACCCCAATTTGATCAAAAAAGATGTCAACATATGCTTGAGAATCCCACATGCAGGACTGGCAAGGCATACCAGGGGGGCATCGTACTCCAGGGGTGGCATCCTACTATATCCTACTCAATGTAACTGTATTAAGTGGAAATATGATACCATTTGGGTTCGAGGAAGAACAGCGTAATCCAGACTTGGCCCAGTTTACGGATTTGGAAGCTGAACCGCCAGCCAAACGCGTCAAAAAAATAAGCTGAACCGCTTATCCAATGGTCTTAAAAGATCCTAGAGAGAAGTTGATGATTGATGAGAGAAACAAGACTGTATGTTTATTCAAGAAATCATTGCTTGAGAAGCTGTGGACTAAAAGGATCTTAGCGGGGTTAAACATGTGCGATTGGACATGACAGCACATGACAAGGGAAAAGGTGGGCCTGACAAGGGTCACACAACCAAATTCTCACCATCAAAGGTCGTTAATTATTTTCCAAACTTCCGGAGCTATTTTGGCATGGAATATGAACAGCCTTGGAATATGGGTAAGATTTTGCTAGAACATATATATATATATATGTACATCTATGAATCTGCAGTTTTCATCAACGGCTGGAAATCCCAAGGGGTTTTGGAAGATGTTTCCGATTGGAAAATTCCACCATTTTGAGCTTGGCAAGTGAACCTTGGGTCAGGCCCTTCGAGCAGAACGGCCGAAGGTGGGTGCTGTGCGGTGGTCGAGATTCATGGGTGTACTTGTAGGATCCTATAGGCATGGGGGTTTGCGTTTCTGATGTTTTTTGATATTCCGCTTTTCTATCACAGACATTGATAGATTCAACAATTGTTTGTTCTAAGGATTTCTATGATCTACGGGATTGTTTAGGATACACTCTGGTAAATTAACATAGACCCTGAAAATAGCCTAGTTTTAATGGAAACAAATCTTCCAACCCCTATCTGCCAGGGTCTATGTTAATTTACCAGAGCGTAGATCTCCTTAATATATTCTGATCTACCCTCGGAGCCAGGTGAAGCCGCGCAGGGAACCACAGCCATGACTTCTTGGAGGTCATTTAAAAAATCATCCTGTTGGCGGTTTGTTCCCAATTTCAGTAACCTCTATTGGGGATAGTAACTGTTACTGGGTTTACCATGGTTTACCACATTAATGATGCAGAAACTCTGCCATCTAGTTGTTTGGCCCAAACATTGCATATTGGGTGGCTCAAACATGGTGTTTTTTGGGGGTTGGTCTTGACCCGCAATCGGGAATATCTGAAACAAATATTGTGAGAATACTTAAAGTATGAATAGACAACTATAGAAAACTAAAGTGTTAAATCCTTTGGGTTTAGGGTTGAACGTGCACCCACTTTTAGCGTTGATGATGGTTTATGATTTGGACACAGACCAGGCGGTTGAGTTGTACTCAAGTGCAAATGGAGCACCATACGTTGGTCCAGGGAACCCACCATCATTGTCGAGAAGTGACACCATTTGTTTTGTTGATGAGATAAATAGGTAGTTAGATTGATTGATATGTATATTATAAATAGATTACTCTTAGATAGACTGGATAGACTATAGAAAAGTTCGATTGAATTGATTGGATAAGACTTGACTATACAAAATTACATTAGACGACTGACATCTTCGACCGTTCACATTTCCTCGTCCGAGGCCCAAGAAGCGACGACGTGGGAAGACCACAGCTCCCCGCCGAGGGGAAACACCCAACACCTGAGACACCCAAAAAGGCCCTTTATAAGTCTTCAAAGAATATACCCTTCAGTAAATCAACCCAGACTCTGGCACAAGTTGGCGGTTGGAAGATTGGTGAAACCACTCAACATGAGATATGTTCATATATGTTCAGGGTCTATGTGAATTTACTAGAGGGCATTGTATTATATACACCCTAGAGTATTCCAAAATATTTTGGCTTGGCCGTGAACCCAAATATTTTGCCCCACATTTAAGATGCTCCCCTGGCCGTGAAAAATATCATCAGATGGGTAAACAGGCGACTTTTTGGGACGCCAATGGTCTGTGAGTCAAAGTTCAGTCTGCCATGTTCTTAAAGAAGTTACTGTACCTGTTCAGAGTGCTGGTCATTTGTTGTTGGATTTACATACCTCCTCCATTTTTTTTGGTACCATCTGTCTAGAATGGAAAATCTCGAATCGGGGTTTCAGGTGTGTTGACATGCGGGGCGATGGTAAGACATCCGATAAAACATGTAAAAAGGTTGTCAAAAACGCTTCTGAATGTATATAATGCCTTAGAGAAGGAACTATTCAGAAGTCATCAAAAGTCCTTGATCTCGCTCCTTGGGACCGTTTTTCATAGGGCCAAACATGTCGGAACGAGCAACAGGGCTTCCAACACATGGGGTTGTCCAAACATGGGGGGTGCCGTAAGATTGCAATTGTCATGCCCATATGCTCCATGTATGGAATATTTACCAACATTTGCCTGAACAAAATCACCCAGTTTTGTAGGTCAATATACCAGCACCATGGTTCGCATATGGGATGGGGAAAGTGATGATCAACTGATCAACCAGGAGATTTTCGTCGAACATCTGAAATGCTTAAGGTCACCCTAAAAATGTGAGCCATGAACACATATTCACAGTACCTCTGTTGATGGATTAATATAGGGGGTTATGCCATCCGGATCCATCTGGTTCATTGGGGATTAATTACCATAGTCCACATTTTTTTCCAGGTGTAATATATTGGGAAATGTTTGATTAATTATCACATATATATCATTATAGGTCCATAATAGATGTATATCTACTGTGAATGGAAGAAATCACGCACCACCAAAGGGATCGTTGAAACCCTATAAATGATGGGATAAACCACCTATCAACTGGGGATCTCTTCCATCCCCCGTATCAACTATGTCTGTACCATGTCCCATGCCTCTGAAGCCTCTGAAGCCGATCCATCTCTCGAGGTGGTTGACGATGACGATTAAACTCGCGGCAACAAGACGTGAACCACTGTGCAGATGTGATAACCAAAAGTTGCATATATATATATTATGTATAAATGTATAAATGCCATAGATGTAGAATTATTGGATGACAGATACACCAGATGAAGGAACAAACACATCTAGTTCCTGAAACATCATCAAGAAGGAAGAATCGCGCTGACCTAATCGGGTCATGTGCTTCCCAATCGGGCCGTCGGCGGCGCTGCCGATGCTTGCGGCGGAGTTCGACCGCAGCTGGGGTGGAGGGATCAGCTGTGGATGGAGAGACAATCAACAAAGATGGTGATTTGATCAACAGGAATGGGTGTTTAACACAAGGGGATTGAACCGCCCACTAGACTTATATCAGAAAGGGTTGAAGAGACAGACAATCGAGGGGTCTCAACCAGGATTTGTTTTTTCCGCGTAGTGGTGTCCGCACCATCAATCTTGCTGCAAGATAGCCTTCCAATCTCAATGACTCAAGGTGTTTTGATGCTGTTTGGGGTCCTCAACAAAAGATTCCGGGGGAGCCCACGGACCAGATTCTCCACAGATAGCCAGCATCTAATTAAGAACGACGACGAGTTACAGTGATTCGTCGCAGTGTGGGATTTTTGTGCATCCACTGTAACGCTTCGCGTGTCGCGTGCAGACTTTGCCAATGGTCGTGACGCGATTTGTTTCACAGCTCGACGCCAGTGTGACCGATGATACTAGGTGTCGGACTCCAATCTTGGATGAACACCTATACAGATATCATGTGCATTGTACCACCTGGCAAGATAGATGTGACCTCACTTCAATGGCCATTTCAGGAACCTAAATTGGAGGTACCTACAATATGTAAGGCCTATGTAAGGCCTATGTAAGGGGATATCCCCCCAAAATATGGCCTTATATGGTACAGTACCTCCAATTTAGGATCCTGGAATTCCCATTGATCACTCAATCTTTGGATATCTGCGAATCTAGAAAGACCCAGTATGTGAAGCTGATACCCTGACGAACATGTAGCAAAACAAAAAAAGCAACAACCGCATCCACATGAACCTCTTTGGACGTTGAACAGAAGAACATGTCATGACATGTCGAGATTCGGGTGTGTTCAAAAATAAGAACCCCCAAAATCAAATGATCTACCATGTTGTTCCCCATTGTGTATGGTCCATTTGACGCTGGCCTAGTTGACAACTTCCAACCGGTTCCACCACTACCAACTCCGCTGGGATTGTGCATTGGATGGTAAGATCCATGCAGTCAGAGTGGGGCCTTATATTCCGACAGCTCAGTATAATCCTTACGTATATCTAAGGTATGTAAATTCACAAAACATGTCATGATTGACGATATATTGTAGTAGTAAATTGTAGTAGACCCTAGTGAGAAACCATGCTTGCACTTATGCAACATGCCTATGCCTGTTGGCGTTGGGCGCTGGGGTCCCTACAGTTTCAGTGGGCGCAGAGCAACGAGGGAATCTCTGCTGCTGATTCCTGCTGGAGCTGGGGAATACCATTGGCAACTGGGTCACCCTGGGTCTCAGTTGTTTGTTCAGAAATGGGTGCAGAAATCTTGTTGTGGCACCTGGGTCCCAAGTCCATCCAATCCATCCAAGTCCGGTGATTTGTAAGGTAAGAACATATATCCATTCAAGTATCCATGGTGTATATCCGACTCACAAGTAAAGGGTTTTGGTATGGTATAAAATTCATGGAGTAGCTTTCCGGGAGTACGTATACCAATGTTTGATCATGTGTCCAAACGCCAATTGTGTTATGAGTCAAACATATTCAAGAATTGGTCCTGAGAGGTCCACAATTCTCTGGTCAGCAACCCATGCCATGCTGGAGATTTTTCTTCTGGGGCCGCTTTTTTCGACCCCAGAGCGGACACCAGTTGAAAGCTGGAGGAATAATTTTCTGGTTGGTTTGTTTTGATTAAGTTTTGATATATGTTCTTTATTGTTCTTCCATCATCTTCCATCCATTTGATGATCCGAAATGGACCCATGTTTTTGCCGTATTTTTTTCAACTGGGTAGAACCACCAAACCAGAAACTCTATATGTTTATATAAATATTTTATCATAGTTTTGGTTTAGTTGTATCACCATGTATCACCATGATGTTGCTCAGCAACATCCAGCAGCAATATGTGCAAGTCAAGACCCAAGATCGAGGGACCCAGAATCAACTGCGCACTTGAGAGCGGCCTCAAACTGCTCGATTTTTTAATGCAGAAATTTGTCAATCGGCAAAGACAGGAAGTCTTCACAACTGGATTCATACAGTCTTTTTGTACTGAAGTGGAGCCCCAAAATCATCCATTTTTTGAGTCATTATCAATGGGAAAACCATGGAAAACCCATACGGGGTACCCATCTATTTTATTTCAGGAAACCTCCGTACGCGCCCTGCATGATGTTTGCTACGGGTCGACATCAGGGGATACCATTGCCAATAGAGACCACTGACGATGAGTTTTTGGATGATGATCATTGAATATCACTGGTTGGTGGTTTCAAACATGACTATTATTTTCCATAATATGACTGGTCAATCCTTCCCACTTTCATATTTTTTAGGATGGTTAAAACCACCAACCAGATCAGTTTGTGTTGCCAGCGCAATTCTATGTGTGTATTGCTTTTATTGTCCTGCTCTATGGATCCAAATATTCCGAAGGTACAATTGGCCACCTATTGTTGAAATCCGAAACACTTCCTAAGGTATTTGGATCCACATAGGGCTGATTGTGGATTCCTTCGGCGTTGTTTGTCCATCCTCTTCATTGTGTGTGTAGTCTTCCGGGTTTTTGCGGCTGATGGGGTGATGGCACGGCATTCTGCCGCGGCACAAAGGGCGCCTTTCGAGGTTCCTGTTGGAAAGTTGATGAATCACAATGGCACCCGTTTCGCGGTGTTATTAAACATGGCTTGCTGGGAAATCCACAAACTATATACATATAGTCCGTATAGTATATAATTATATATAATTATATAATGATGTAATCGTATAAATATAAAATATTACTATATATAAATATAATATGAGCTAGAAATTGAAATTGCGAATTTTCCGTTGCCATGTTTCATTACCAGAGGCTAAAAACCCAAATTGAAGGAATCAATTGATATACGGTATACAAATCAATCCTTGATCCACATATACCTTTGAGAAAGTGTTTCGGGTATAAACAAAAGGTACCTTCTTAGGACATATTTGGATCCATAGGAAACAATTCAGATGGATTCACACAGAACTTGTTGAAGGAACAATTTACGGGAAACCCACATGAAAATTGCCGATAAAAACCCGTGGTTTCCTGCAATGTCCTGCCTTTTTTCTCTAAACCAATCCATTGAATCAATCAAGATTGGGAAAATCATCCCCAAATAGAAGAACTAGTCTGGTTGGGGAAACATTAATATTAAATATGTGATAGTCCCCGAGTCATGAAGGTTTCTACGGTTAACAGCTGGGTATTGTAGACAATTTCCCCATGCAAAACATGCCGGCAAGAAGAATTGTTCAATGAAAAAGGCAGGGGAAATCAGACTTTGGTCATTCAGATTGATGTGTTTTGTGATCAGAGACTGGTTTCTCCCTGGCACGGGGTCAACGACTAAACTCAGTAGCGGTGGTCCTCAGACATGTTCTCATCCTTGAAGCATTATATATTGTATACATTGATATTACATTGATAGTACATTGATATTACATTGGTATTACATTGATATTGCATTGATATTACATTGATATTACATTGATATTACATTGATTTTACATTGATACTACATTGATCAGTTGTACGGACAACATACCATGCAGATCTGTTCTATAGCCATGTTGAAGTCTCTTTATGACATGTTTTGCTAGGAAGTATTTGGATCCAGAGGAAAAGGTATATACATACCCTATGGCAACCAATAGGTTGCTATTGAAAGCCACCATTTGCAAAAACGGTGGTAATAGATGCATAATCAAACTACATTGGCCATCTATACCATAGAAAACTGTGGCCGTTTACCAGAGGATACGTAATGTTAAAATCCCCATTAAATACCATTAAGTCACCATTAAACATCATTAAATCTCCATTTAACATCATCAAATGCCCATAAATCCCCATTGATTCCCGGTGAACGCCCAGCTTGGTGATCTGTTTGGCTCCAGCTTGGGCAGATGGTCCGAAAACCAATGATTTTACATAGTTTTTTTTTGTTTTTTTTACTCCCAACATATGAGAGTTTCCAGTAGATTTTACCTTTGTTCTTGCAATGACATGACATGACTGAGCTAAGTAGATAACATTTGATTCATACCCTGATTAGTAGAGAGCTAGACGCAGTAGGTAACCTTCTGCATTCTTCTGCTTAACGACCATCGTTTCACAGCCAGCATTCCAATTCTTCAGACAGCAGCTTCGTTTCACAGCCCCTAAATCTCCGAAAACAATTTTAGAGATGCAGTCATGTTCAGCATATTTCAGCATTTTGACACATGTTTGACCCCAAGATAATCCGAAGCACACAACTTCTATCAACTTATAGCCAATTCTACCCATCTCCTAGGCCCTCCGGTCTTCAAAAAAAACCCGTTGTGACGTGACGGGCCATGGCTGAAGAGGCAGAATCACTAACTTCCTGGGATCATTGGTATAATTAACTAGCAATTGAGATAACTAACTATCGGAATCTATTGGGAATATATGAGCAATAAGTTAAGTAAGTTACTGGCAGGATATCGTGGCTGTAAATCAATTACTTTAGAAAGAATAAGTTGATGTGTTGATTGCAATATGTTGTGATTTGGGGATCAACAACTACAGTCTGATGATACCAACAGAAATTGGTGTTTCATCCAACACGAGACTTGACCCGCAAAAACCGGTGCCAAAAATGAGTGTTGATGGGCACACATACCCTTTGGTAATGCAGAGAAAATAGGGAAATTCCCTATATATGGAGGTTTTAGTGGGAACATAGTCTATATAGAGGCGGATAATTGCCACGTTTGGGTGAAGTTCATAAAATTGATTGAATAAGGTCGCTCTCTGACCTGACAACCTGACACGTGTACTGAGACGTTCAGATAAATTTATGAGAAGCTCAAACAGGTGCAGGGGAAGCAGAAGTACTGCAATTCAGCCATCGAATGCGCAAAAAGTGGAGATACATTCACAGATTAGGTAAACAAAAGTGTTCTTACATTTCTAATGTTGGAACCTGTTTGGAATTATCAGATATCATAATTTAGCCATGTTCTTTTAGCACATATGTACCATGGTTTTCCCATAAACGGGTATGGTTATCCCCACCATTGATATCTTTGTTGGTTGAACTCATTGTTTCTACCCACAATTATATGCCCATGATATTCCCAAGATATTCCCATGATACTTCCTGGATGTTCCCAGTCATTGTTGATGATACCCTCTGGTGTCATCAGTCCTGGCGATTCCCTGGAAGGTGGATCAGCTTCTGCATTTGCTTCAGCCGCTGGGTTAGTGAAGGAAAATGTGCTTGGATGGATGGGTCAAAACCAATGGCTCTCCCAAAACATAACATGAATGCTTTTATCATCTATGCTATGAATGTTTATCAATTTATAGATGAGTTTTTGTTTGAATGTTTATTCATTTGTAGATGATGGTGTTTATCATGTGTTTCAGCTCGTGTCTATATCTATGCACTTATAGATGATGATTTTAGCATTGAGAAGTGGATGTTGGACTGCCAGATCCGTGAGCACCGGGCTAGACCAGGGTATTTGGGTTTTGAACAGTATGGCTACAAGTCAAAATGTCAGATCCACAAACAGACTCTCGGCCGTTTGGATAGGCCAATTTTGTTGGTGATGTTCAATCTATCCAGGGATGAATGAAGGATCTTAAACTGACGGGGACCAAAAGAGCACACAGTCCCCTCCAACAACAATTATATATAGTAAGTAATAGTAAGTCTATTAAATATTGTCAAATCATATCCATATCATTCATATCATCCATATCATCCATATCATCCATATCATCCATATCATCCATATCATCCATATCATCCATATCGATTTGAGTAAAGTTATATATTATATATACAGCATCATCACAACAGCCTCACCATGCCTCACCATTACCGATGCTTTCAATAACCTCCCTTTGGTATGATCGCTCCAATTCACAGAATGACGAAATCAGGGACAAAACAAATCATTTTTAATTCCTGATTTGGGAGCTCTTTGTAAAAATTAATTAAACATTTTTTGGGGGAATTTTGGAATTATGTCCATAATTTCTTCAGATTCTGACCATCAGTCCATGGCCTTTCCAGGTCATCGAGCAATGTGGCCCGTCAACAAGCGGAAGCTCAACTTGAGGCGACCGATGTCGACGGATGTCGACGGATGTCGTACATAACTGGTTAGTTGGCATACAAGACCATAATCAGATATACGTAGATATATATATAATTATATAATAATATATATGTATAATATATATATATATATATTTAATTACAATTATATATATATATATAGAGATCATATATTATATGATATATATATATGGGGTAAGCCCATGAATGGAGACTTACTAACCAGAGTTATCAATGTTACTAACCACTTGCTACTTCCTGGATGATCCTCGGAGTATTGTTCCCTACGTGGGGATAAAAACAAGCCTCTTGGGGAAGAGCATGATATGAAAAATGACTGGTTGGTGGTTTGGAACATGACTTTTATTTTTCCATCTATTGGGAATGTCATCATCCCAACTGACTTTCATATTTGTCAGAGGGGTTGAAACCACCAACCAGAAGATGTGAGATTCTCCACCAGGGGGAAAGGTTTCCAAAGAAAGCTACTGGTCCCCCCCTTCAGTTCACCATTGAAATCCCTTGAAATCCAGAATTGCTCTGAATTGCTTGGAAAATTTCGGTATCATCAAACATGGCTGGAAAATCTGAGGTAACTGGCAGCGTTCACATCCACATTTTTCTTTTTGGAACCCGAGGCCTGGTCCCAAAATCCCAACTTCCTCACGGTGATGATGAGCCGTCGCGG